CGGCCCCCAGCCCGCCCGCCGCGGCTCGCTCGGCCCGGGGCCCCCCGACCGCCCGGACCGGCTCCCCAGAGCGCCGGGCCGTCCGCCGCCCCTCGCTCTGCCGCCCTCCCGCGTTGCATTTCTCCTTTCTCTCTCCAGGCTCTTTTTACAATTTATTTCTTTACCTTTGTCTTCCTCGATGAAATTTTCCCTCCTAATCCTCTTTCCTTCTTCCACTATCTCCTTCGTTTCTCTTTATTTCTGTTTTATTTTCTGCCTCTTTCTTTCTCCAGTGCTGTCCCTCTCCTTTCTTTCCACTTCATTTTTCATCACTTCGTCTTTCTTTCCAGTCTGCCTTTTGCCTCTTATTTCTGTAGGTCTTTTCCTGTTTTTCCGGGTTTTTTTCCTCTTTTTTTTTTTTTAACAAAATAAAAACTGGAGATTTTCTCTAGCGTTTCCCTTTTTTTATGACTTTATTTTCTGTCTTAAATTTCCCTTCACTTTATTCTTTTTCGTTTTTGCTCTCTTTATTTCTTTTTCATCTTTCTCATTTTTCCGACCTTCCTTTTGAGTGTTCTGTGTTTTTTCTCTTCTCAATTCCTTTTCCCCCCGCCGCCCTCACCACTTTCTCTCTCTCGTTTTCCCAGGTTCCCAGACTCTATGACACACTCTGCTCCTGCCACCTTCCCTCCACCTCTCCCAGCTTGCGGCCACCTCTGCCACCTTTCTCCGGTCCTCCTCTCCTGTCCCTCCTGGCTTCCACTAGTCCTGTTCTGGGCCTGAGTCTAGCTGCTTGTGGGTCTCTGCAGCTGGGTCCCCAGGCTGGAGGGTGCTCAGGCTTTGGGCAGGATGCCTGCCCTTCTTCTCTGCTCCCGAGTCGCTGGAAGCCTGAAGCCCACCCCCCCAGAGCTCCCTCCACCCACTCTGTGCCCGGGCCCTGCCAACACTCTTTGCTTGGGCCCCATGGCAGCAGTGGCAGGGGGACTGGCGGGCGGGTCCCCGTAGACACAGCAGGACGGCTCACCTTCCATGTCCCTGGTGACGGTGCTGAAGTGCATCCCGGCCGGGGATCCCAACAGCCGCTGGAGCTTCGCCTGGTCGGAGGACCCAGGGCCCAGGCGAACGGTGCGCTCTGCGACCTCTGCTGCAACCAGAGAGGCGATGCTGAACGCGCTGGCCCGGGGAGACAGCGGGCTCCGCGCGTCCATAGGCGCCCGGGCGGCCTGGCCGGCGCCGCCTCCGACTGCGTGCACCCAGCCGCACCGAGGCCGGCCCAGCCCACGGGACCCGGGGGCGGGGGCCTGCGATGCCACTCACAGCCTCCAGCCCTGGGCCCAGGGGATTATGGCGTCACGGCCCCCCACTCCGGGCTGGTGGCAGCCGAGGGGCCCAGATGGGTGGAGCGCCTTGGGAGTGTGGGGCCCTTCTGTTTTTCAAGCTCCCTGCCCCTGGCCTCTGCTCCCAGGGACCTCCATGACCAGCGCCCTTCGAACATCCCGCTGTTCCCACCGAGGCCGGGGTTCCCTCTGTCCAGCGAAGCCACTGTCGGGTTCTACAGCCCCCGAGTGGAAGCAGCTACCCAGGGAGCGCCCAGCCTCAGCCCGGGTCAGTGAGGCACCGATGGATCACCGTGGGGCCGCCTGGGCTCAGCCTTACCCCTGCCCTCGGCCCCTCCCGCCTCCTCCTCCCTGGCTGCCCCTGCACCTGGGTGAGGAGAGGGCAGTTCAGGCTCCAGCACTGGCCACAGGCGGACAAGCCCAGAGCTGTGGCGTCATCCGTTCCTCAGCGCGGCGGAACGGGACCCAGCCGAGCAAGCACCCCCCCCCAGCCCCCTTCAGCTGGCTCACTGTCGTGGCTGGGGACCCCGAGCAGAGGGACGCCGCCCAGGCCGTGCAGCCTGGGAGCCCGAGTGTCACGCGCACCCGCGCGCACCACCGGCCTCTGGCCAGGACGCTTATACATCCGGAGGGTGGGCAGTGCCCGCTCCTCCGACCTCCCCGCGCACCGGCCGGGCGCAGGGAGGGCCGGGGGCGGGGCCTGGACTGGCCCAGGGAGCCGAGGACACGTCGGAGGAGTTCAGGCCGCCGGGTCGGATTGTACGCTGCCCCCTGCCATCCACCCTGCCCACCTGGGAAGGCCCTGCTGCCTTGGTGTCCAGCCAGGCCCCGGAAGATTGAGGCAAGGCCCACCCTGAGGCCTCAAGGCCTCTAGGCCCGGGCATCCAGGACACTGAGGCCTAACTTGGCCTGTGCCTTCCCTCACCTACTGCCACTGAGGTCTCCTCTGACCAGTTCAAGGCATCCATGGCTTCGCAGCCCAGAGTTTCCCCAGCAGAGCATCAAGTCTCTCAGCCTCCCAGGAGCCTCTCTGGCCCTTCACTGAGGCTCTGGCAGTCAGGGCCTCCATTTCCAAGGCTTCTCCGCCTGCAACCGTGTTGTAGGCCTTCGCCTGCGCTTGCCTGGGATGAGGGTGGGAGGCAGGCGGTGTCTTCCAGGGCTTTTACAATCCTGGGGCCTCAGACCCCAGGCTGGAGAGGGTGCTGGCTAGGAAGTGGGGAAGGCTCAGGAACTGAGGACCAGGGAGTAAGCTCCAGTAGGAAGGGACTGGCTCCGGGGCCTGAGGTCCAGGAAAGAGCACGAGGTGGTGAGTGCAGCACAGGAGCATGTGGGTATATGACTGGGGTGTGGTGTGTGTGACTTCCCAGACAGTGAGCCCCCCTACTTGCCCCCCCGCCCCGCCAGCTGTGGCTGTAGTTGTGGAGCGTGGAGGGAAAGGGAAGCTGTTGCCAGAGCGTGCCTTCAGTCCGGAGTGGCCATTTGGGGCTGTGACAGTGACACTAACCTGTGGGACCTATGGGCAGGTCCGGGGAGAGTGAGATGTGGAACCAGCTGGGCTTAAGGTCTCTCTTCCTCTTCCCTCAGCAGGGCAGCCCACTGCCTCCAGGACCCCAGGAAGAGCTGCGCCTGATGGCAGGGAGAGCCCAGCTGGGAGGGGACATTGGTGGGGCCAGGTCGTGGAGGCATGCCCACTGCTGGCAGTCCACACCCAGACAGGCACGCAGGGCAGTGTCACCAGGGGTACCTCACACCAGCAGTCCGCGCCCAGAGAGGCCCTAGGCCCTGCCGGCTGCCTGTGGGGCCCATGTGGGGGCTCTGGGAGGGGCTCCTGTGTGTGGTTGTGCATTATCTGGGACGCATGCTGCCCCAGCATGTGGGGATGCTAGTGGTTGTGTCCTGTGCACCTGGGGAGCCTTCTGCGTGTATCTGGGCACACACCTGAGGGCAGTGGCCAGATGTGGAGTCGGAGGTGACACCAATATTGAGAAGGGAGAAGTGAAAGTGAAAAGCCCTGGGGCTTCCTGGATGGGCCTCTGGGGCACCGACCTGAGGCCCTCGGGCCTCCTCCGTGTCTGAGGTGGTGGAGGAGAGCGCACGATCCTCCCAGCCCCTCATTAACCCCTTCCTGCCGGAACAGAGACCTGCTGGGCCGGGTTGGGAGGGCAAAAGTGCCGGAGCAGAGGACTCTGTGGGGTGGGCCAACCCTGGTCGAGGAAAAGGGCGCCGGGAAGAGGTGAGGGGCCTCACCCAAGCCGCTCCGTCGTCGCGGGGTCGACCCATTTCCACCCGCGGCCGATACTCACCCGCGCCTGCAGAACTCCACACCCCGCGGCTCAGTGCCCGGGCCCTTCTGGAGCCCTCGACTGGAGAGGCTCGAAGCGCGAGGCCGCCCGAGCCTCCAGCCCGCAGCGGAGTCGCTGCCTCCAGCGCCCACCCGGGCTGCGCCCCTCGGAACCACCCTGCGTCCCTCCTGGGGCGCGCACCGCCCTCTCGCGCTGCGCTCCGCCGCCCCGCAACTCGCCCGCGCCCTCGCCGCCGCCGCCCCGGCCCCGGCCCCGGCCCGCAGCCCGGAGAGAGCGCCCCCGCCCGCCGCACACCCCGGCCCGCACGCGCACGCCGCGCCGCCGCCCGCGGGAAGCCTTCCTCCCTCACCTGGCCGGCCGCGGCTCCCTTCCGCCTCGCTCCCCCTGCCGGCCGCGCCTCCACCGCGAGGTAGGAGGCCTGGCGGGGCGCCGGCGTACGCCGGCCGGGAGGGCCGAACTGCCGGCGGTCGGGAGCCGCCCGGGGTCTGCCTTCTCGGGGCGCCGTCCGCCCCTCCGCCTGGGGCGCAGAGAGAAGACAAGAGCCGCATTTAGCGGCCCGGCTGGCTGCGAAGTCAGGGTTACTACGAGACCATTTTACAGGCCCTAAAACCGAGGCTGGGCGTTGCTGGGCCGCCGGTGGGTACGGGGTGGGGACCAGAAGTCCGACTGAGGGCCGGAGGCGGGAGGGGCGGGAGGAGGCTGAGACCGAGGCACGTCCTCGGCACCAGGACAGCGGCGGCCTTTGCTTCTCTCTGGGCCCTGCACGGGGTCCCACGTGGGCGCTCGGCTGCGCCCCAGCACTACCCTGGAAGGCTCAGCCACCCCCGGCCCCAGCATCTTTGGAGTTTTGCCTGAAGCAAGCCCTGTGTCGGAGGTTTTCTCCCCAGCGTGCAGGAGGTGGCCCCTGGAGAGTCTTGACTAGCGGGCTGCCCGCCCAGCTCCGCCTCCCGAGAGTGCACGTGTCTCCCCCAGGGGAGCTGTCACCACAGGCACCTTCACACTCTTTTGGCAGGCAGGACCCCACTTCTCATCCACCGTCCATTTGTAAAGGCACACCTCTAGCGCTGGGACGGGCTGCTGCTAATTCCCTCCGAACTTCTTCATTCCCAGCCCCGGAAGGACCTGTGCACCCTTCGTGCATCTCTGGCCGGCGCCAAGCCCTCGGATCCTTGCCCTCAGGTGCTCCTGAAGACTAGGGGCACACCACCCGCGCCCCCAGCGTGGGTCTCCCGCCATCTGGGGCAAATGCATACGCAGATGGATCCATGCAGGTGCCCACAGGATGTGGATGCGTGGCGCACCGGAGACCCCTTCCTCCAGGAACCAGAGTTTGGATCAGGGCAGAACCAGGCTGCGCCTCCCAGGGCACAGACAGAGAAGAGCCCGGCTTTACTTGATCCCAATTATTTCGTTTCAGGATTGATCAGCTGGGGACTGCCTCAAGTGTCTGCTTAGACTTGGCCTCAGGGGTCGCAAAGGAAAGTCCTGCACCAGGAGCACCCTGGACCCTGGCTTTCCACCTCAATCAGCGCCTCCACCCCAGGACGAGCCTTGAGCCTTCGGAGCCAAGTCTCCACAGGGCAGCAGCAGGGGCAAGAGGCAGGCGAGCTTCGCTGGAGCCCGGGGAGGCGGGCGCACTGGGTGGCTCTGCCCTGCCTTCCCAACCCCGTCCCCACCTCGACGCTCCAGCCCGCCACTGGTGTCTCACGCAGAACCTTGGCCCCTCGGACGCTCCCCATCATTCCTCCACCCAGAGAAGGTGCTTTGGCCCTGGCCCCGACGCTGCAAACGTGGCTTTCAGGGTGGCGCTGGCGTGGATAGGCAGGGACCCCAAGCTCTGGAGGCGGACGGGTGGGGCTGCCATGCCCACATTGTCTGCACAGTGGCTGGGCTGTTGCCTCCTTACCCTCGGTCTCCAGCTACCAAGCAGGGAGAACCTCCAGCTCCCTGCGGAGGAGAATCAGGCTCGGTCGTCCATCCCCCCCCCCACCCCTCCCAGGAGCCCAGGCTGCTCAGTCAGCGGGCGCCCTGCTTGCCCGAGCACCATCTGACCACACCCCATGGGTTTACAAACCCTCCGGGTGCTGGGCTGGCACTGGTGGGGGGTGGGGAGTCTTCAGGGGCTATGGTGTGGCCTGGGGCTGGGGCCAGAAGCGGGGCAAGGGCAGTGTCTGGCCCTGGCCCTGCAGTGCACACATCTGATCTCTTGTGACACTACCCTGCCAAGTTGGAGGAGGCGAATCCCTCTCTCCAGCTTGAGGACTCAATGTGCGCAGAAGAGTGGTGGCTCCGTTGACCTCTAACTGCTCCCTGGCCCTTCCCTCCTCATGCCCCTCCCCCTACTGAAGCAGAAGCACCTGTGAGTCCACCTCTAGGCTTCCTCGTTGGTGTTGGACTCTTACCCAAACCCCGGGTGGGTGGGGATGTGTGTCTGCCCAGTCCCGAGTTCTGTGGGGTGTGGCAGAGGGTAGGCGGAAGTGCTGCCTGGGGGCCCCAGGCCCACAGTGGGGTTCACACTAGGGGGACTGAGGGCTCTGAGGGTATGCCCAAGTGAGCCTGGCCAAGCGG